TTGCATAATGCTGAAAATAATTATAGCTCTATTGCTTTGTGAATGAGGCTTACTATCGCTGCATCCAAATTTTCATAGCGGCTAAATGGAACATTCCCAAAAGTCATTTTGTCTGTGTGTGTCTGTGTGTGTATACACTCGAAACGAATTAACTGTTATACCACCGAAACGACCAATTAACAAATCCTTTCCAACTAAATTTTCCATCAAACCAAAAAAACCGAGTCATTTGACTTATCAGGTATTTCTGTCTGCATAGCTTTGTGACATACACCAATAGTGACCGTTCTTTATTGTTTTTTGGTTAAGTCTTGGTACCGGCATTTCGAATGGCTCCAGAGTTCTTCCGACTTCTGCCTTTTAGCAGTTGCTGAGCATCTACCTCTGCCTATAGCCTATGCTTAGTGTGGTAACAAAAATGAGCTCAGTTTTTTAGATCTCGTGTTCCCGAAATTTGGAAGATAACAATGACCTTTTGGCAATATCGTAATTACCTCACTCCGAGCTACAACAGCATCTACTCACAACTCGGATTTTCCCCTGTTGCTCTTCAAGAGCATGGCTCACACAGTCGCGATCCTACTTGACAATTTGAGCTAAATAATAATCACTACTACTACCACTACTTATTGAGAAATACTCACAGAAATTAAGTTTAAGATTTACTTTATTAAAAGGGCTCATTCATACGTAATATACCTTTGCTGGAAAAACAGGATTTAAGACGAATTCCTAGTTTGTGCTGTACCATGCCTCCAAAATGGGCCTCAGCACTGACGTTAAAGGAGTTCAAACTCTAGGCTTGTACTCACTTGGCCAAACATGCTGGCGCTATGCCGTTAGCAGCCTTAACGACGTGGAATATGGGCGATTCGATATGTTCGCTGTTTTGGTAGATAGAACCTACGGCATGCCAAGCCCTGCCTTCCCATCATCGAAAGGCAACTCATCTCTGTACTTAAACATCAAACAGATAATCAACCCTCACCTGCACTTCTGAAAGGTGAACGTGTCAACTAAGTGTATTCGTCCACGCAAAGCTGCCTATTTCTATGCTTACAATGTACTTAAATGTATGCATATGCTGACAGAAAATGTTTCGTTTTTAGGCTAAAACAAACAGGGAATAAATACAAAATTGAAGGATGCTGATTAAAATAAATAGGTTTGTCTAACTAATACATTTTTATGCGACACCAGGAGGCTTTAACTGGTTATCTGCAAAACTCAGATTCACTCGAGTGCCTGGGCGGAATAGCCATGAGGCATTACATTCGTGTCCAAGGTGAAATGCCGCGTGATCCGCGGATAATTAAATGCGCATTCAGATGAGAAAATTCATAATTTGACACGTTCATGTATTTTATTGAATGACTCATTTTCGCGAATTTTATTTATTTTTCTAGACCCTAAATTGTGATAACCTACAATTATGAGCCAACCTGGCTTGAAAGTAAGAGGGAAGCACAGACATTATTTTGCATAATTGTTTGTTGAGCTGTCCATAAATTCTTGTAAAAATGGTAGATTATTCTCTCCAGAAAATAATAGTGAATTCATCAGGGCCTGCTGTTATTTGCTTTCTCTGGAACGTACAAGCCATAAAATTGCCTCAAGCTGTATCTTTCATTTTTAGTGAAAACTTAAATCATCATAAAGTATTGAGTCACAAAATTTCTCCTTTGCACTTAAAAATGAATTTTGAAGAGAAATGTAAAATGATTTGGTCATTATACTCTCATGTTAGTTTCCATTTGCGCCTATGTGTGGGCATGCACATGAGCATAAGTAGATGTGTGCGTGTCTGTGCGTGTGGTATAGGTATGCATGTCTGAGTCTGTGTTTGAGTGTATGCGAGAACAAAACTGCCGGAGATTGCTTCGAGTAATTAGCACAATACGGTACACCTGCCCCAGGTCACTAGTAGCTAAATGACCTCTGAGATCATGAAAAAGAAGAGGTCCGTCTGGCTGAATCAATGAGGCTCATGTGTGAAATCAGCAATATTGAAAGAATATGGAGATTAGAAGAAATGATAACAGTTGCAAATCCAGCTTCCCCTTGGCTGTGTTCTTGTTTAACAAAAGTCGTCTATTTACTCTCATACAGCTAAATTGAGTAGTGAATTCGCTGGTATTGTAGATAGACGTGGTGGTTGAACTGAGGTCCTAGTTTTATCCAGAATACAAGTTCAATTTCCATAATGTATTGCAGTTACTCCGCCGTCTAGGTCGCATAACGACTGGACCTCGTCAAAGCTGCATTCAGGCGCCATTATTGCTGGAAAAGAAATATGACTTGGGTTATACTACTCAAAAGGAAGCGGCGGAGAGTAGGTTCGAGAATTACAAAGTATTGGCTCAAATGACTCATTATGCCAAGACGGCATTACAGATAATAAGAACTCAATGATAGGATTTTTTAATGATATGCTCTGTATGCTCACAAATCAGGCAATTTTGCCTAGTTCCCAATGTTATGCTATCCGGAATGAGGTGAATACTAAGCTTCGATCACGAGCCTGCCGATCTTGGTTGAGACTGATTATGCGGATTCGGACGTTGCTACAGAACAACGTTATTTTAATTACTGTAACGATAGCGACGGCATTTGACCTTGGCAAACAAGAGTTGACATTCCAACAAACCAGCTGTTGCGGGATAGTTTTGAATTCTTCTGGAGTTCAGTGAGCTTTGGATTCACTTTTTGGTGCGGAAGCTTTCGTGACCTTGGAGGCAGAGGGCTTATGCTGAAAATGCAAACGGACAAAGTGTCTGATAGCCTTGAGGCTAAACAGCAAAAGAGGTAATGGATAAACGAAATTTGTAGGAAAATGGCCATAAAAAAAGAAAGGATTCTCGAAAAAACATATAGTGGGTGATTTCTGTATGTTGTAAGTTGATGAAATCGAGGAGGAGGTGGTCTTGAGTGTGGGAGAGATCCCAACATAGTAGCACTAAGCCCTAAAATGACTCGCCAGATCATATTTTCCAAAAGAATTGGATGGATTACGACAATGGACAGCTGAAATAAAAACTGGTACTACCACAGCCGTAAACTACCTTCAATATTGTGAATTGCTGGCTGAAAGCATTTGTAGCTTACATTTCTGGCTCCATGACGTAGGACATAAAAATATATTAAAGTTGTTTCACCTTGTTCTCGCAACTTGGTTATATTCGGATGAAGACATAGAGGAACGCACCTTGTCCTGAGTCCATTGTATTCATCATCATTTCCAGAGTAGGACTGTGGACGTGGCACATTTTAAGACGTTTCGCCGACACCGTAGTCGTAGATACCACAACTGTTTAGCACACGTTTGGTCAAAGGATGGGCTTCATTTGTCTCTTTGACGAGTTGTAATATGGTACTACGAATGGCGAGCCTCACTGACGATGCCGGCGAAACGTCTTGGAATGTACCACGTCCGCGGTCCTACTCTGGAAATGATGAGGCATACAATGGACTCGAGACTAGGCGCGTTCCTCTAAGTCTTCCTGAAATTATGTTAAGAGATATCAAGAGTCTATAGTAGGGGCCCATACTTCCAGAGCCATGCTGCACGCGTTGGCGCAGACCATGTTAACACGACTCTTATGGAGACTTATGCACAATAAAAGGTATTTTTTTTAATAACTAGTAATTATAGTTTAAGTGTTTTTCAAGTCGATGGTAGGTAGGCCCTCTTCGAGGCTCCATTCTACAAGAAATAGGCCATGCGAGGCTGATTGAACTGGTTTTGCTGCCCCTCTATGACTGAGACCCCGGAGACACTCAAAGTCAACATTTAAGACTTTTTGAATGAGGTTGGTTGAATAGTCTTTGGGTCGCCAATTAACTGGTTCTTGAATTTATTCGATACTTCGAAGAGGAGAGTTAATTTTTTTCAGATGTATTGGCGCGTAATTCTGGAATACTGCTTCGGGAATGGCAACCTTGAGAATGGTGATAATACTAAAATAAATTATGCATATAGTAGGACTGTCGATTCGGAG